GATAGTTTCTTCATGAAGAATTTATGAATCTATTTAAATTAAAAACTTAGCTCACGGGCGGTTTTATGTTATGTGATTCATATTTTGTGACATGTTTTACATTGGTAGAACATGATATATGTTGATTTTGCCTCAAATTTTGTGACATAAGCATGATTGTTTGATATGCAGTTTTACAACCTGTGAATTTCTCTGAATTTAAGAGTGATGTTCCCATACTGAACGGTGAAAACTATAAAGTTTGGAAGGAGTCAATTCTTCTTCAATTGGGGTGCATGGACATTGACTATGCTATAAGGAAAGACGAACCACCTGCTCCTACTGACACGAGCACTGCAGCTGAGATAGCCCTTTATGAACAGTGGGAGCGGTCCAACCGCCTTAGTGTGATGTTCATAAGGACTAAAGTATCTCCTAGTATCCGTGGTTCAGTCGCTCAGCATAGCAATGCTAAGGCTTTATTGGAGGCCATTGATGCGCAGTTTGAGACTTCAGAAAAGGCGCATGCCATGACCCTGATAATGAAGTTTTCATCTCTAAAGCTCACAAGTGTAAGAGGTGTGCGTGAGCACATCATGAAGATGAGGGACATTGCAGCTCAGCTGAAAAACCTTGAGGTTGAGATATCTGAATCATTTCTTGTGTACTACATTCTGAACACTCTCCCACAACAGTATGCACCTTTCAAGATCTCCTACAACACACATAAGAATAAATGGTCAATTAATGAACTCATGACCATGTGTGTTCAAGAGGAAGAGAGGCTGATTATGGAATTGGGAGAAAGTGCTCATTTGGCAACACAAGAAAGGAATAAGGGTCACGGCAAGCAGAAGGGGAAAGGTAAAATACCTCCCCAAGTGACATTAAGAAGGAATCCAAATGTTTCTTCCGTAGAAAGAAGGGGCATATGAAGAAGGATTGCGTCGGATTTAAGGTCCGGCTCGAGAAGAAAGGTAATCCAACCTCTTATGTTTGTTATGAATCTAATATGGTGATGTGAGTCACAACACTTGGTGGATTGATTCCGGTTCTACAATCCATATTTCGAATTCCTTGCAGGGTTTTCAAAACCACAGGAAGCCAGTGGGAAGTGAACAAAGCATCTATTCGGGAAACAAGATGCGTTCGCATGTAGAAGCTATTGGGACATGTAGATTAGTTCTCAATAGTGGCTTTGTTTTGGATTTGGAAAGGACCTTTTATGTTCCAAGTTTCTCTAGAAACTTAATTTCAGTTTCAAGACTTGTACCTTTGGGTTACTCTTTTAACTTTTCAGATTCAAACTTCGAGTTTATTGTTTAAATCTGAAATTGTTGGGAGTGGTATTTTGTCTGATGGTCTTTTTCGAATTAATTTACAAGACAATGCCTATTATAATGCGATGCATGTTCATGACAATGCTGGTATAAGACGATGTGTTGTGAATGAAGATTCCTCCATGTTGTGGCACCGGAGATTGGGACATATCTCCATAGATAGAATTAAGCGATTAGTAAATGATGGAGTACTCGGTACTTTGGATTTTACTGATTATGATATTTGCGTGGACTGCATAAAGGGAAAGCAGACCAACAAGACAAAGAAAGGTGCCAAGAGGAGTACAGACATATTAGAAATCATACATACGGACATTTGTAGTCCTGATATGGACTCGTATGGTCAGAAATACTTCATCTCCTTCATTGATGATTACTCACGTTACATGTATCTCTACTTGCTTCATAATAAACATGAAGCGTTGGATGCCTTTAAGGTTTTTAAGGCGGAAGTAGAGAAACAATGCGGCAAGCAAATTAAGATCGTGAGATCAGATAGAGGTGGAGAATTTTATGGTAGATACACTGAAGATGGACAAGCACCTGGTCCGTTTGCAAAGTTTCTTCAAGAGAATGGGATAGTTGCCCAATACACTATGCCAGGTTCTCCGGACCAAAATGGCATAGCAGAAAGAAGAAACCGAACTTTATTGGACATGGTGCGGAGTATGCTTAGTAGCTCCAAACTTCCTAAGTCCTTGTGGACTGAAGCTCTTAAGACGGCAGTGTATATATTAAATCGAGTTCCAACCAAGGCTGTCCCATAGACGCCTTTTGAGTTATTCAAAGGTTGGAAGCCAAGTTTGCGGCATGTACGCGTTTGGGGATGCCCGTCTGAAGTAAGAGTCTATAATCCACAGGAAAGGAAGTTGGACCCAAGGACTGTAAGTGGATATTTTATTGGATATGCCGAAAAGTCCAAGGGATACAGGTTTTATTGTCCATCTCACACTACTAGGATTGTGGAATCAAGAAATGCTAAGTTTCTTGAAAGTGACTTGATTAGTGGGAGTGATCGATTGAAGGACACTGTTCCTAAGAAAGATCATTCAGATACTCAACCTTCCACTTCAAGTATTAGGTTGGTTGTTGTTCATAACGGCCCTTCAGTTCAGCCGGCTATTGAACAACCAACTATTGAAGTTCCACAACTTGCTGATAATGATCCGGTAGATCCAGTTGCTCAACAATTACCAGAAGCTGTTGAACAACCAGTTGAACAACACGCTCCTCCAGAGAATGTTGATACAACATTAAGAAGATCTACTAGAATGAGGAAATCAGCAATTCCTAGTGATTATATTGTGTATTTACAAGAGTCTGACTATAATATTGGAGCTGAGAATGATCCTGAAACGTTTTCACAAGCCATGAGTAGTGATGAATCCAATTTGTGGTACAATGCCATGAAGGATGAGATGAGTTCTATGGCATCAAACGAAGTCTGGGATTTGGTTGAGTTACCTAATGGTGCAAAAGCCATTGGTTGTAAATGGGTCTTCAAAACTAAGAAGGACTCGTTGGGCAACATTGAGAGATATAAAGCTAGACTTGTTGCCAAAGGATTCACTCAAAAGGAAGGAATCGATTACACGGAGACATTTTCTCCTGTATCTAAGAAAGATTCTCTTCGTATTGTTCTGGCTTTGGTTGCCCATTTTGATATGGAATTACATCAAATGGATGTGAAAACGGCGTTCCTCAATGGGGAACTAGAGGAAGAGGTTTACATGAAACAACCTGAAGGATTCTCCTCTAGTAAAGGTGAGCATTTCGTGTGCAAGTTTAAGAAATCTATATATGGCTTGAAACAAGCATCCCGCCAATGGTACTTAAGGTTCCATGATGTCATCTCTTCATTCGGCTTTGTAGAGAATATCATGGATCAATGCGTATACCAGAAGGTCAGTGGGAGCAAAATTTGTTTTCTTGTGCTATATGTGGATGATATTCTACTTGCAACCAATGATAAGGGGTTGTTGCATGAGGTGAAACAATTCCTCTCTAAGAGTTTTGAAATGAAGGATATGGGTGAGGCATCTTATGTCATTGGCATTAAGATCCATAGAGATAGAACTCGAGGAGTTTTAGGACTATCTCAAGAAACCTATATCAATAAGGTCTTGGAGAGATTTCGGATGAAAGATTGTTCACCAAGTGTAGCACCCATTGTGAAGGGTGATAGGTTCAATTTGAACCAGTGCCCGAAGAATGATCTAGAAAGGGAACAAATGAAGAACATCCCATATGCTTCTGCTGTCGGAAGCTTGATGTATGCTCAGGTTTGCACTCGACCTGACATCGCTTTTGCTGTGGGAATGTTGGGAAGATATCAGAGTAATCCAGGGATAGACCACTGGAAAGCTGCAAAGAAAGTGATGAGATACCTTCAAGGTACTAAAGGCTACATGCTTATGTATAGACGGACTGACAACTTGGAAGTAGTTGGTTATTCGGATGCGGATTACGCTGGTTGCGTTGATTCTCTAAAATCAACATCAGGATACATTTTTATGTTAGCTGGCGGAGCCGTGTCATGGAGGAGTGCGAAGCAGACTTTGACTGCTACTTCCACTATGGAGGCTGAGTTCGTTTCTTGTTTTGAGGCTACCTCGCACGGTGTATGGTTGAAGAGTTTTATTTCAGGGCTTAGAATTGTTGATTCTATTTCTAGGCCATTAAGAATATATTGTGACAATTCAGCTGCGGTTTTTACGGCTAAAAATGCTAGAAGTGGCAGTCGAAGTAAGCACATCGACATTAAGTATTTAGCCATAAAGGAACGTGTTAAGGAGAATAAAGTGGTCATTGAACACGTTCGCACTGAATTGATGATAGCTGATCCTTTAACTAAAGGCATGCCACCAATGAAGTATAAGGATCATGTGGCTAGTATGGGAATAATTCCCATAATGTGATTTATTGTCGTACGGACGATTTTTGTTGTTTGAAACTCTTACTCAATTGTAATGTTATTCTCAATTTCTGGTGTACACATTCAGTTGTTTATGAGAATAACAATTATCCTTGGTTCTGGAATAAACATAGGGTTTATTCATTAAGATGTGTTGTCACATATGGGCTGACATTAAAGGAATAAGATGCATTGTAATACATGGAAGATATTACTCGCTCTTAGAGGACATGTCGCCATGATTCATGTGTCTTGTTTCTTTTCTTAAGCATATGGTTTTCGTGGATTTGGTTGGGTAATCTGTATGATGAAAATGTTGGGATCAAGTGGGAGAATGTTATATTTGTAATGTGATCCCACATTTAGGTTTGACCCACGTTTTCTCTTTTGAGTGACGGTTATCCACTGTCGGTTTTTCCACGCTTCGTACCCCTTCGGTGACAACCGCCCTCTTCGGTAACCGCCTTGATGGGAAGCGGTTTATAAAGATGAACGTTCATTCCATAAGGGCTAACACAAGGTCTAACGCAAACCCTCTCATTCGGTAATACACCATCAGTACGCGAGGGGATTGGGTTAGTAGAGTGCGCCCGTAATCGTTTCGAATTGACGTCGAACTACCGTGGATTTCCGACGAACGTAAAGTTGAACAATGGCTGGAGGTCAGTTTATTTTCGATCCTGTTTTCCGCATTTGATTCTAATTGTGCTTGAATTTTGTTCTTCTATGCATGATTAGAATCCTTCAGTTTTAGTCTCACACCAAGTGTATTTATGACAGACTAAAAATCTTACTTATGTGCATGCCCGGGAATCCTTTCATTTCATTAAACAACTATACAGGTCACATTTTTCCATCACAGATCAATTGCTAACTTTTCATTCATCTCTATATTCACGAACAAATACTATTGCTACCCTGACTGCATTGTGATCATGCAACTAGTTCTTAAATCGTATTCAAATGTCAAATGCCACGCAAAAGAGTCAATATTCTTCTGAAGAAAACATGATCAGCAACACCAGCAGATGCTAGAAATCCATCAGATTGGCAATTACAAATCATGCACAAGCCAAAGAGAACACGCATTTAACAAGCTTCGGCTTTTATATCAATACATGCTAACTTTGATCTTTCACACTTCTGCACAACAGGATGGAAGATGTGCTGAGACAGATGATGTTCTCCCAGATGGCTTCCACGTGAAAAAGGGGGACGACATTAATTACTTGGCTTACTCAATGAGAAGAATGCATAACATATGGGGAGAAAATGCCAAGGGTTTCAAACCTGAAAGATGGTTGAAGGATGGAATTTTCCAAAAAGAATCACCTTTTAAATTTGTTGCATTTCATGTTCGTTTCTCCATCCTAAGTCCTAGTGAATTTTTTTTTGTTTTTTTTTGGTCCAACTAGATACCATTTCATTCATTCATTCAAAGTGGTACTTAACAAGTGTTGAAGACAAGAGTCAAGGCATAATAAATCCCAAAGGTGTTGGGGTGGCTTAGATAGCCAATTACATGGGAGTATCCTTTTCCGATTGGCCTTCGCGGTCCAATCTGCAACTTTGTTGGCTTCCCGTGAGCAGTGGGCTAAGGAAACGCTTTTCAATTGAGCTAATAATTCTTTGCAATCCTCAAAAAAACTCCTCAGGTACCATGGGCTTTGGCTTGGTTCGGCTGAGAATTTAACCACAGCTTCATTATCTATCAGAACTTCCATGTGCAGCACGCCATTTTGCCTAAGTTCGGTGGCATAAGTCCTAGTGAATTGAATACTCGAAATGTGTTTACATATTCCAAGCATCTTCAGTGACACTCTTACTTTCCTATTTGCAGGCTGGTCCTAGGATCTGCCTCGGGAAGGATTTCGCTTATCACCAGATGAAAATAGTTTCAATAGCTCTCCTTCGCTTCTTCCGCTTTAGATTAGCTTATGAAACTTGACCTGTAACCTACAAGGTCATGTTCACTCTTCACATCGACAATGGCTTACATCTTCGTGCTGTTCCCAGATTGGCTACATAAGAGCTGGACTGTTAATGAGTATTGTCCATCGCGACATATGGATTTCCAATGTTGGATGCTGGCAGTTTTTCCTGATAAGTAAGCTTGTGCACTACAGGATCTTACTATTGCATGTAAAGGTTGGAATATTAAGGTGCTCTGCTTAAATCCCATATGTAATTTGAAGTCATAAGTTCGTCAGGCTTTGTGAGAATGCCAATAATATCGTATTTTCATAAAGCCTCTGAGAGGCGAACAAGCTGATATGGGCCCAAGGGCCCGGCCCAAGTCCACGTTTTTCGAAAATATAAAAAATATAAAAATAACAAAAAAAAATCGAAAAAAAATTAAAAAAATGATGGTGTAGACTTTAATCGGGTGTATGATGAAAATAGAAAACATAATAAAAAACTTTAAAAAATTAAAAATTCGAAAAAAAATTAAAAATTTTCGAAAAATGGTTGGGAACAGAGACCTTCATTAGGCGATTAAGTTTTAGCGCTAGATTCAGCTTAGTTTCATTTACTTAGTATACATTTTAGTTTAGGGATTTTAGTAAACACCTTCAATTTAAGTTTAGTCTTGGTAGATTAATCTTTGGAAAAATGATACAAATGGTCTCTAAACTTTAACCCAATGTGCAATTTAATCCATAAATTTTTAATTTGTTCAATGTAGTCTTTGAACTTTAGCCAATGTGAAATTTCGTCCCTGAATTTTTTATATATGTTCAATCTAGTTCCTAGATTATATAAAATGTTCAATCTTGTCCTTGAACTTAAATTAATGGAATAATAACATTAAACATTTTTATATATTCCAAAGATTAACTTGAACATTTACCAAAAGTCTAGGGATCACATTGAATAAATTAAAAATATAGGACGATATTGAACAAATTAAAAGTTGAGGAACCATATTGCATATTGGGTCAAAGTTCGGGGACTATTTGTCTTTTAGATAAGAAATTGGACTCAATTTGAATTTAACTCATGGGGGTTGCTGTCCTGGCCCCTGGGGCTTGACACTTCATTGGGTTTACTTCCTTATACTTTACTTTTATCGTACTGATTGTGATTGTGTACTTGCCCCTGATTGCGCGCTCATGCATGGACATCGTTTAGTGGCATAGGATAATAAAATAGTTAAAAGATCACATGAATCTCTTAGTTAACAAACCAATCAAGTTAGGGTACCGAAAAGACATTAGTTAGGCAATTAATGTAATAAAGTCTCCGATTTCATAATCTCTGGTTGCGTAGAAAGTGAGATAATCTCTCGTATCTTACTTAACTCCTACTCGGCCTTAATAGACTAGTGGCAGTTTTTCTCATAGGTTAGATCATACTAAAAAATTGAAAATGTCGAGCAAGGTAGGGGTTTGGGAGAACCCAAGCCATTTGGAATTGTTGACCGTTCTTGGCATTACCTCTAAACCCATCACTCCTCGACATTGCCAGGAGGGTCGTGACAACCATTTACCGTGCGAGCAATATACCTACATAGATTTTGTCTTCTCATTATTCAAAGTACCATAACACAACAACATTTAAAAAAATTCAGATCATGTTTGTAAACCAAAGCTCTATTTTGTTCATGTATAATTACAATTTATTGCCTAAAGGACTGTTATAATATTGGTTTGGCTGTTTTAATGGGTATTTGTTGAAACATAAACTCTGGGGACCCCATTAGTTATTTATTTCTTAAGAAAATTAGGGATCAATCCCGACCTCTAAATAAAAATATAATAAATTTGCATATAGGAACATTTTAATAAGCCCACATAAATTGCATCTTTTACTTGACCAGTGTTCTGAGCTTAATTGAATTATCTAGACTAAGTTCGCAAGAGCGCAAAATTTTGTCAAGCCCATTGAACTCTAATATGGCCAAATCCAAAATTAGGAAAAATTATGTTATTGTTTCAAATTGGAAGTGCTGAGGCACATTATATCACAAGATTTGACAATATGGAAAAATAACAAAGAGAAATACCTTAGTTTCTTATCTTGGACATATCACATAATCTCTTAATCCAAATTAGGAAATTAAGATATTTCTTATTCTTACAAGAGTGCCCTAATCTCACCCAAACTTTCTCTTCAAATTGAAGAGGGGGGACAATACAAAAAATAGAAAAACGCTGAAGACACGTTTATGTTAGGGGGGTTCGATTGTTCAATTCACTCATACATACACTATATCCCACATTGGTTCTCATCTTCCATACACATACACTTATCTATTCTTCGTCCCCTCTATCTCAAAAGTTCACTTTTCTTGGTGAGAGTTTTATTTTTTAAGTTTATTGGTCTAAAAAACATATCAAGTCTCTTTATTTACTATAAAAAGGAATTGTATTATTTTCTTGCTATTGGCGAGGCACTTTTACTCATAGCATGTAAGTGGTTATTGGAGTATCTTGAGGAAAAAATTGTCTAAAAAGTCTCAAACCTTTCGATTGGGCTAATTTAATCCTAAACCTTTTGACGATTCATCAATTTAATTCTAAACCTCTTGACAATTTGACAATTTAGTTATTCTTATCAACTTGGCCGGAAAATCGTTGACATGGCGGTCTAGTTAGCAGCGGCCATCCTATATGGCATAGTCGGCACTGACGTAGATAATTTTTGCAATTTTTAATTTTCTTATATATTTTTTTCTTTTCATTTCTTTTCTTTGTTTTTTTGCCAACTCTAGGCCGACGACCCTCGCTTGGTCTAGCCGAGGGTGTCGGCCCTTGCCAAGGAGTAGGCGAGGGCATCAAGCCTTGGCCCACATCCAAGTAAGGGCCATAGCCCTTGCTTGAGGCTAGCGAGGGTCGTGATGCCCTCGCCCAAATCTCAACAAGGACGTTACGGCCCGTGTTAGCCAGCAGGCAAGGGTTAAGGCCCTCACCTAAATCTAGGGGAGGGTTCGACACTCTCGCCTGATCTAGGCGAGGGTAGGCGAGGGAGTCATGGCCCTCACCTGAATGACCCTCGCCTAGGGAAAGAAAAAAAGAAATAAATAAAATAACAAATAAAACATTCAAAAAAATTAAAAATAATTGCAAAAATTGTCCACATTTTTGTTTTTTTTTGTGGGGTTTTTTTTTTTTTTTTTTTTTTTTTTTTTACATACGAGCATAGAGTTGACGTCCATATCTTGGCGATTTCGGTCAAATTTAGGGTGGAAAGATTAAATTGGCAAATCGTCAAAAGGTTTATAACTAAATTGGCAAATCTTTAAAAGGTTTATGACTAAATTGGCAAATTATCAAAAGGTTTAGGACTAAATTGGCACAATTGAAAGGTTTAAAACTGAATTAGCTACCGTACAATAAATTTAGGACTTTTTGGACAATTATCTTGTATCAATACACTATAAAGTATTGACGTGAAAAACTTATGCACATCGAGTCATCTTAATATTCTTCGTAAGCATTGCATGAATGATGTTAAATTTGTGCCAATAAAACTTCATTGTCAGTTTAAAAGAAATTCTTATTTTATGCAAAACTTTGATTTAATTAAATTTCATCATTTCAAGTTCCATTTTAGGAATGTAGGTGTGATTTTATTTAGAAAATCTTTAAAGAGGGTCTGTTTTCTTTTGTTTCATACAATCGTCCCATTATATGTATATGTACAAATCATATATATAAAATCATTGGCAAGAAAAAGTTTGATGGTGATATGCATAACTATGATAAAAATTTTATAAACATGTAATTGTGTTAAAATGTTGTTTATGTTGAATTTTTTTTTTATAAATTCTACTTGCTAATTAACTCATAAATTTGCTTGACAATGTAAAAAAAAAATAGATTTCTAGGAAAAGTCTTTTTTTGACAAAGCTAATTTCTCCAAAAGTAAAATCTAAAAATGGAGGAAAATATATTTCCTTCAATATAAATGGGATACCTACAATAAACAAAAAACAAAACATATGATATTCTCAATTATGGCAACTAGATCATACATATAATGTAAAAGCAAAATACAAAAAAGAAAGTAAATACATTTGGAGCCACCACTTTAAGTTGTAATTGAATTATTAGAGGCAGTTTTATCTCTTAAGTGAAAATGAGATGGATTTTGTCATATATGGGGTGAAAACGGCACCTCCCTTTGATTTAGTACATAATAGAGATATAGATGTTGGTATCGCTAGAAACGGCCGCATTATTCTTCTTTACCTTTGTCCAATTAAGTGCTGAACTTCCTTCACCTATTAAAATGTGCACATGGTAGGTTTTAATTTGTGAAAGATTTTAAAATAGATGTGTACGAAGAAAAGAATGTCCAATTTTTTGATGTGCTTAGTAGCGAAAAGTTCTCAAGTGAGAGAAAAGGGATCCTACTTTGCAATGGCTAACTCATGAATGTTTTACTTTTTATTTTTCTTTCTTTGCTTTTTTCACACAATACTTAAAAAAAATCCTGAGATTCCCAAATATTTTATATGGCCTAATTCCCTAAAAAACCTCCAACTTTAGGTTCAGTCCACATATGACCCGAACTTTTCTTTATCTAAAATAAACCCTAACTTTAGGTCCAGTCTTAAATCTACCTCTAACTTTTTTTTTTGTCTAAAAAAAAAAATCACCAATTTTTACTCTAGTTTCAAATCTGCCCCCATTAGCCCTTTGTCCAAAAATTGCCGTTAGTTGTCCCTAGTTTTTATATCCTAAAACGGTTTATTTTGGAAATAATTTTTCATTGTTGATGTGAATTTATTATCGATGTGGAAATGCCACGTCAAGTTGAAACTAGACCACGGGGTAAATTTGAGAATAGATTGAAAGTTTGTGGTTTTTTTAGACAAAACAAAATTCGAGGTAGATTTGGGACTAAACTTATAGTTTGGGATTTTTTCTAAGAAAAAAAAAGTTCGGAATAGAATTGAGACTACACCTAATGTTGAGGATTGTTTGGGGGAATTAGGCCTATTTTATACTAGTTGTTCTGTAGAAGGCTAGAGTTTCTTTCCCCAAAAAAGATCAAGATTATATCCATGGTGCCAAAAGGCCCAGAAACAAAACAAGAACGCAAGGCCACAGAGGCTCAAGAACACCGACACAAACAAGAACCAAAGCTGGGAATAGAAAGCCTCGATTCCTTTGTTGGCGCAGCTAAACATTCTAGCAGCAGGTGAGATAGGTTTCAATCCGTCTAAAATCCTTTTTTTTTCTTTGTAAAAAAGCAGGACTAAATAGGGAGATGATTTGGTTGAATTCTAGCAGGAGGAATCGATCCTCTCAACTGGGCTCTTGAAGTCGAAGGCGTCGAGCACTTTTGTCACAGGAGAGGGCAAAAGACTAGCGCAGCAGGGACTGGTTGGTTACTAGCTGACCTTATCAGACACCTCCAACGACATTGAAAAAGGAAAGATGTTTTCTCGAATGATAATGGGATAGACATCTAAGATAAGATGCTACTCTAGGGCTTTGAGAACAAGGGGTTCTTCATTTAGTATGACAATCTTACAATTGTCATTGTATCGGTTCTAACTAGTGATACATCTAAGAAAGTCATTTGGCTTTCTTTCTGACCTTTCTTCTAGTGAGACACAAAATTAATCTTCTAATCAGCCACACCGCGGGCAAAGCTTTGTCTAGAATCAGGTCAACATGAACCAGATTCATCACAACCATTGATCATATGTGCTCTATATGTGGTTCCCACATGATTAACTGGCATTACTAGGTCCAAACAAGAGTTTCTTCACTTGGAGCCTTACCGGACTTTTCTGATATTTCAGAAACATGTCAGTGATACAACACTTGATACTCATTTCCGGGAGTTTTTTTGTTTTTGAAGGAATCCTGCCAACCTTGGAAGCTCTCTTGGTGTCTCTACTATTATGATAAAGTTCATTCATCATTCAAGGAATTAACTCTATTGGCTTAAGTACACAACACAAATTCAATTCGACACAATACTAAATACAAATCACTCCATGTTCGGTTTCACTCGCTCAAATCTTATCTTGCCTCTTACCTGATCCATAGGAATAGTGAGGTGTTTAAGCTCCAACATATCTAATTAAATGAGGCTTTCTCGTAAATCAAAAGGAGCGCGGTTTGCCTGGCGAACAATGACGGAAAAAAATGATGAGGTGTTATCTGCTAAATGGGATGAGAGAAATATGCATTTATATTCTCCTTTCTCAATTTAAATCCCGAAGTATTTTCCTTTTTCCATGGTTGAACAACAACCATTGGAACTCATTTTCATGTTCAAATATAAAATGACAATTAATCTACATGATCTCAGACTCCGGATTTATTGAAAAGAGGAAAGCAAAAGAAACTAGTGAAAAAAAAAAATTCAGCAGCTGTTATCTATCCTCAACCCACCAGAATTAGCCTTCCTTCCCTCCTCAGCCAAAGCTGCTTTAGCTGAAAATATCTTAGCAGGCACTAGGGAAGCCTCAAAGACAGAGCAATCCACCCAGTCCTTCAACAGCTCCTCTTGACCCCAAATCTCCGGTATCCAAACCTGCCCCGCCACCTCGAGCCGGTGTCGCTTCAGCCTCTCTCTACCTTTCTCTTCTTCTTCTTCTTCTTCTTGTTGCTGTTCCTCTTCCTGTGTATGGTGATCTCCTTCACTGTTGTTATTGGTCTCATGTTCTGCTCGGGTGGGTAATGGCGGACTTATCCGCCCCAGCTTTTCGTCTGAATTACGCCAACCACCATTATCAATCTCAGAAGAAGGGTTTTGTGTTTCTTTTCTTCGTTCACCATTTGATGCATCGGCATCGGATTGAGCTGAATCTTGTGGGGCACTGATCATTTCACTGGGTTCTTGATCTTCCTTCATGTGAGAATGAGTCTGGGTCTTGTCTTTTGTTTTTTCCCCTGCTCCTGGGCCTGTTCGTTGTTCTATCTCTGTTGCTATCTTTTTGGAGAAAGAAGATTGCATGAGGAGGCTCATCTGTGTGCGGGAATAAAAGCAACGAGAATGGGTGGGACGTTGAGTTTCCACGTCAACCCAAGAGTCCCACTTATTGTATGGTATTTGACAATTGTACGTGTCTTCTTCCTCATTTAATTCCCCTTCTTGTGTGGCTTTCTTTCAGCTGCTAATGGTGAAAGAAATCTTTGGAATATTGTGAGGTTGATGTGACATTTTTTCTTAGTTTTTGTGTGGGGTTGATGTTGATTTTGATGAATGTGATTTTTGGCGTTTGGCCAGTGAGATTAGAGAGTTGATTCGAAATTGGGTGTGGGGCCTTTTGTTCTTTGGATTTTTGTTATATTTCATAATCTTAGAGGGGAAAATAGGAGCATAATTCTTCAATTTTGGTGTATAATAAGGACATGGAGACTCATATTCCGAGTTTCAAGGGGATATTTCCTTGATGGTGATGGAGACCTTTAACCAACACCATTCATTTTGTCTTCATTTGCTCAAAACCCCACGAGCTTGTATTTATTCGCTTTTTCTTTCATTTTCAAGTATTTATGAGCGTTGAAAGGTGGAATGAACAACTGAATGTAGGCTTTATTAGCAAAATGTGTTCAGCTTAATCTTAAGTCCTCTTCCATGCATTTCTTATATTGAAACCCAAGTACTTGTAACTGGCAGTGTCCGATTAGTCACTTCATTTATTAAGATGGTGTTAATTGCTAAGTAAAATGAACCATGATTAGTCGTAGTAACAAGTTTGAATTATTTTAAAAGAGGAAAAATGACACAAATGGTTCCTGAACATTAACACGGTGCAATATAGTTTTTGGGCTTTTAATCTGATCAATGCAGTCTCTAAATTATCGATGAATGTTCAAAATATTCCTTCTATTTGCTCAAATGACAAATCGGACATTGTTAATGACATCGATATTATAATCTAAGTTTGATTTTTAATAATCACGAGTCAACATTACCATCTACTTTAGAAAAGGAAAAAAAGATTATGATGTTAATATGTCCATTGCCATTCGATGACATAGATTAGTATAATCTTGATTTGAGATGAATATCTAAAGTTGTGTTCCATGCATTTCTTCCATTGAAACCCAATTACTTGCAACGGACAGTATTTGATTAGTCACTTCATTTATTAAGATGATGTTAATTGCTTAGTATAATAAATAATGGTTAGTTGTGGCGGCGAGTTTGAACTATTTTAAAAGACATACGAAATCCTTGGCTGCGGCTAGCCTGGCCGTCCTCTGCAGAACGACTGTGGGACGGTCAAAGGCCAGCCACAATTTTTTTTTGAGGATTTCAATTATTGACTCAATGTTTCCTTTTTTCTTTTTTTCTTGACTTCTATGTTTCCTTAATGCCAGCTCAAATTGAGAGACAAAATCATGGGAGGGCACACAGAATCAATTTTCTTGAATATGAAGAAAGAAAAAATAAATTAGATACCAAAATATAAATAATTATAAGTAGAAAAACATTATCACTTTCTGAAAAGAAATCGTTAATGTCATTATATAAATTTATTAAATTTAAAAGATGAAAAGACACTTGAAAAGTTGGCTTTACAACAAAAAACGAAATCATTGTACAATGAAATGGCTTCTCATTCAAATTTTATTGTTCTAGAAGGACTCTCCGGTGAACTAAGACCATTATGCATAAAACAAATGAAGTAAAGAAAGATCAAGATAAGATAATGAATTCTATACTTTCAAAATATTTGAGAAATATAGGTAGTGTTACATCATCCTAAACAAAAATCAACTGTTTTTATTGACCAAACAGTTCTAATATAAGTCATTTTAGATCTGAAAGACTGTGGAAGTAACTGACAAAAGTTAGGAGTATCTATTATACATTTGATCGGATGAGATCCCTCAACAGCAATTTACTAAATGCTTTTGTACAGGTACCCTGCGTAAGGTCCTTTGCTGTGAGCAGAATTACAAGCAAACTGGAAATGATCAAGGAAAGACATAATTTTAAGAGCAAAGGACAGTGACACACTAATTTAAGGGGTTGGGCAGTTTCGTCTACGTCAACGGGAGGAGTTGTTTCACAATGACCAAGAGGGAAGTACAATGAGAAATAAATCAATTTCTCACTAAACAAAACCCCAATTGCAAGAGTCAATAAAAAACGAATGAGACGAGTGAAAAGCGTATCCCAAGAGTATTCTCAGAAGGACACTTTGATCTCTCCCGATCAAAAACCAAGACAATATGTTCTCAATTCTTCTCATTTTCCTTGTTGGCCCCAGTATACCTCAGCAACAAAATATTTAAGAATATGGGTTGCAAAATCATTGTTAAAAGAATAAAAGGTCGTGCCGAGATCTGCCAACTTTTTGTGAACCTCCTAAACAACTGGACCATTGTGGCCAGACTCCTGGGATTTGCCCAGTAACTATTGTGGCTTCTTCAGGTGTCTACAGTTGCTTCACCGAACAACCAACCCTGTACAATACTCAGACATTCTTCAAGCTGCGTATTTGGTCCATGAAATTACACAGGCCAATCCCAAGCCAAATCTAGGTCCATGAATCATAAACTCAAGCCACAAGCTTAACAATCTCAAACTGGTGGGGGCAGAAAGGAGTGAGACAACTTCATAGTTTTCAGAAGCATACCATGGATTCTAAAGATCGTCTAGCCAGAAATTGAGTGGATGAATTGCTCGGAGTACTGCTTCTATCAGGAACATAGCATATGGATTTCCTGCCCATTTTACTGCCAAATATTTCATCTTCACCCTCACTGCCAGTGGACGAATCTACCTCAAGAAAAGTTTGATTTTTCTCAGGTTGTGGAGAATCTTCTATAATAGTAACATCGTGCACAACATTGCACCCACCGTCATTACAGATATCTTGGCCAAACATATCAGCCAAAACTCCACAAGCTTCTGATTCCGCAGCTTGCAAATCATCCCAATCTTCAGTATCTTGCATAGTTTCGGCAAGTTCTGCTAGAAAGTCATCGCCGCAGTGCTCCACAGTGATAAACTCTCAACCTTCGTCACCTTAAAAAAAAAAACCAAATGAAGAAAGAGATGATTTTGCAAGTCAATAACACTACTCCGCCAAACCCACAAAGAAATGACAATGAGATTACCGCTCGACGAACAAAGTTTAACTAGCTCTGGTCCGTTCAATTCCAAAGTAGACCATTTCGCAGCCATCATCAGATCACTGACCAACCGCAATAAATCTCCTTATTTAGGAACGCACGATCGATCAATACACAAATTATCCACGCCAATTACGCCATTCCCTAATCACCAGATACCACCCAATTTGGCCAATAACCAAGAAAAGCCCACCATCCAAAGTAGCCTCAACATTTGAAGCAGGAACCGTGCCAGACATTTTGTTCGTCAGCAATACCACTCCACTAAGCACCCTATTCTACAGCCATCGTCATCGCGGTGGACGATGGAAATACCTACACAACCTCTGCAAACGCTAATCTCGGCATAAAAAAAATGGGCGACGAAGAGACGATTCGAGTTACCGTAGAGGGAAACGAGGCGGTCCAAGCACTTGGTGGCGGACTGCTGGTCGAAGCCGAAATCGAGAGCCAAGCTCAGCAACCGAGCTTTCTCTACCTCCTCCAACCCCCCGATCCTCCATGGAATGGAATCTCTCAACGTGTGCTCGATGCGATTGGATGTATGGATCGATCGATGGTGCACGAGCGGGAATGGAATGGAATCGATCGCTAGTCTCTCTCTGGAGAGCGCGCACTCGAAGTGATCTTTGCGCGAAAACCTTCCCGGCGATGGCGGGATTGGATGATGTTTGTTTTGCCCTTCGACAATTCCGTTTTCGCGCCCTGAAGTTCGTTGGAAGTTCTATTTTTGCCCCCCCCCCCCCCCCCTCATAAGTTTTTCTGGTTTCATTTGACACCCTTGGGTCGAGTCTGTTCGGTGGGAGCCTCTTCTTTTTGCGTTATTCTTCTTTGGTTTTCATTTCACGTCTACGTTATTTTTACCTTTACATATATATTAATATAAATATTGCAATGGAATGATTTTCAAAAAATTTAGGAAAAATAGTGTTTCCAACACTACTTTACTGTTTGGCAAAAAATATAAAAAAAAACTTTATTATGGCCAAAATCTCTCGATGACGATGGAAATTTCGTAAGTCAAAGCTCTGTCTTATAGGATCGGTCTTGCATTCAACGTAGTCTGTGGACCGTTGGATAAAATGGGAAAAAACGTGATCCGTCAAATCTGTTTTGCAAAAGTCGATTTTCTGTCATCACTTTCGGACATTAAAAGGAAAGTTACAAATGCAAACGTGATTAACTTAACATTTAACTAAGAAAAGTTACGATGAGTAAGGAAAATTACTGAGACTTAGTTCTTGAAACTTTACCAAGTGAAAAGGAGAGTTACAATCAATATTAGATATTTTACTAAAAATTCACAAGAGAAATTTATTACTAATTATATTTATGGAATTTTACCCAACGTAGGTTTCGGAGGTTTTATGACCTCCAAAGAAAAAGTGCACCCTCCAATGAAAACCTGTGAAAGGATGTTTTACAGGTAAAATTACTATTAACAGGGACAATTTAGTCGCCACAGGAAAATATCCAGTAATTTACTAACCATAGGAAAAGATATTTACCCAAAACTTTGGCAGATTAGTATACTTTGGGGAATATTGCAAATCATATGACCTACAGAACTTACGATGACAAAAGAAAAATTACTTCTTGTGAAGAAAAGTCGTGAAATTGATATATATATGCGGTAAATTATTGTGTGGAAAAGTAGTAGGAAATTTAAGTATACCAAATAAGAATCACCATTAATTAGACTGGATCCAATCCCATTTTCCCTTTTCATCTTGTTGTTGTCGATTGTTCAACTGATTCTTGCCAATCTGTAGATGGTTTTGAGTTGCGAGAATATGGAGGATTTTGTTCTACTCAAAAGCTTTCTTTCTTTGCCTTTTTCTCTCTGTATTGTTTAGTTATGGTGTATGCTTAGCGTTTGTGATTCTTCACATTAAGCAACTGCTGGACGATCAGCTTATGTGA